TCCGGCAGGGCCAGGGAAGCTCTGTCCTCTCTTGAAGAAAGGATGGAGAATGCATGGCGTTTGGGAGAGGAGGGAGAGGGGAAGACAGAACGAAGGCTCCTCTGAGTCCTTGCTGGGCCTCAGTTTCCCCAATGGTACAATGTCCCGCTAGGACTGGACCAGCAGGGGTGCAGAGTGAGATGTCCAGGTGGGGCTGAAGCTCCCCCTACAGCTGCCTTGCCCCTCTGTGCATGCCCAGGTCTCCGAGGTCCCTCCAGCTGGACCCTGCTGGGCTTCCTTGATCAGTGACTCTGTCTTTAATCAAGGGCGAAGTGGCCTGGTGCAGGCTGGGGGCCATGTTCGTGTTTGAAGAGGGCGTAGAGGTGGGGGTGGGTGGGAAAGGGCGGGCTCCCTTAGAAAGCTTTCACCCATCACCAGCCCCCTTGCTGCCCTGGGTGGACTGAAGCCCAGCTCTGTTCCTTCTGCCCAGAGGACCACTGGCTTTCCTGCTCCTGTTCCTGCTTGCAGTTGGGGGCTGGGGGTGGGTGGGTCTAGGGTCGCAGGCAGAGCCAACTTGGCTTAGCAGAAGGAAGGAGCCCAGCTCGGCTGGCAGGCAGAGTCCCTGCTACCTGTGCAGACCACCTGCCACCCCAGGCTGTGATGACCAGTGGGGCAAGCATTTTCTGAGGACTGGGGCTATCTGCCTCCTCTGTCATCCCATAGGCCTGTACTTCAGAGAGAAGGGGCTTGCGGGGAGAGGAGGGGAGTGGGGAGAGGGGTGGGGGGGAGGGCACAGCTAGAGGAGGGGGCTATCCTGACTGGTCTGGCTCTGTGCTCCTCAGCCCCCAGACGGTGCTGACTTCTCTCCAAGGGGCCCGACTGGCATTTTCGTGCTTTCTTTGCAGCCTTGAAGCCTGTGACAGTTACCCAGCTCCCCTCCCCACGGCTCCTCAGCCACCCTTTCTCAGTGCCTGCCTGCTGAAAAGAAATCTCTGGTCTCCTGAATTTACAAACGCTTTATTGAGACTAGAGCAAGCCAACAGAAAGCTCTAGGCTTACGGGTCCTGGCAGGCAGGAAAGCCCTCCAAGCAGCAGCCCCGCAGGGGGCTCTGGTGGAGGGCTCAGTCCCAAGGACCTGCCCACCCCTTCGCCCCAGCTCTCCAGCTGACTGGGGAGGAGGCCTGGTGGCAGCTGTTGGAGGAAAGGCCCGAAGGGGCCAGGCTTTGTAAGTACAGTGGTTTTCTGCTTATGAAAACCGGAGTTCCTTCTGGAGACAGGTATGGCACCCCTGTTTACAGACCAGGAGCCTGGACTTGGAGTGGGAGTCACTGGCCCTCAGCAGGCGGGGGGTGGAGCTGGGATTAGCGAGCAGGTGTCAGCCTGCCAAGGGACGAGGGAGCGTCCTTTCAGCCTGAGCTCTCCTGACGTTTGGGCTCAGAAGCCCTTGGGTGAGCCTGGCCTCCCAAGGCCTCCCTCCCTTTCCCAAACTGCGGAGGGCAGAGGTGGGAAGGGACCCAGGTAGGGAAGGGAGGGGTGGAGATGGTGTAGCCTCCAAAGGCCGCCGGGGGCGGGGCAGCCTCCAAGTAGTCCATAGTGTGGAGGAGGGGGGCGGGCCCTCACCTCAGGCCACTCAGCCCTGCGATCCCCCGCCCCTCCTTAACGTCTAGCTGAGAATCCAGCTCTACCCGATCTGTCCGCTGCCTAGGATAATTTTGGAGGCTGAGGTCAGGGTCCTCAGAGGGAAGGGGGTGGTGTCAGAGAAGCCGTGGCCGTCTCCATGTGGTGGACAGTTGGACCTCCAGCCACTCCTATTGTAGCCCGGGGGCCTTGAGCAAAAGACCTTCCATCTCTGAACTCAGTTCCTTTCCTTGAGAAAATAGTTCATGGAAGAGAATGGGGTAAAGGAAAGGCAGGGGCCACCGCGGGGAGAACCGGTCAGAGGCAGCTGCTGAGTGACTTCTCCCTCCAGCCTGTCGCCAACACCATTCGCAACACGCCCTCCCCTCTTTCTGGGTCTTCAGCAAGAACGGCAGGGAAGAGGTGCCTTCCACAAGGGGGTGAGGGCTCCCTCCAGCCTCCAGGAGACTGCCCAGAGCAGCTCCTGGTTCTGGAGAGCGGACTTAGAGCTCTAGGGCAGGTGGGGTGGGAGGTGGGGACTCCCCCTAGCCTGACTTCCCAAACCCATCCCAAGGACCACAAGTGCGTCCTCAAACCTGCCAGGGCCTTGTGAGATGGTCCCAAGTCCAAGGCCCGCTACTCGAGGTTCAGAGTGGCAGAGATCACTTCCCGCCTCAGCACAGTGGGAAGGGTAGGTCGAGAAATAGATGGCCTCCCACTCCTAGCCCCTGCATCTAGATGCAGAGTAACTGATGCAAATGGACTGTACACAAAACACCCACCTAAGTCCAGGACCTCCTGGTACCCTCCCCAGAGGTTAAACACCTTTGCTTCCCTTTCTACCACCCCACCACCTACCAGGACCATCCCCATTTCCCTAAACCGCCCTGTTAGGGACAGGGGTGGGGGTGGAGGTGGGGGCAGGGGTAGACAGCCCAGAAGGGTGTGGGGCTCTAAGTCCAGGCGGGGGGGGCGGGGGGGGGCGTTTCGCTGAGCTCTTTGGAGAGGGAGGGTCTCTGGCAGGGTTGGCACCTCCGACCCCCACTTCCCTGCGACCCCTGGCTGGAGGCCTCCTGGTGGGTCTGAAATAGGTGCCGAGTGCCTGGTGTGCAACTGTGCGTGTCACAGTGAGCATACTTGTGAGCTTGCCTACGTGTGTCACTGCGGGCAGAGATAGATGCGATGGTGTGTGTGTGTGTGCTGGCTGAGTGTATGTGTGTGTTTTGATAAGCATGTAACTGAGAGCCTGCAATGTGTGTTTCAGGAGCTGTGTATGTGTGCGTGTGTGAACATCAGGTGTATGAGAGCCTTCCGGCAGGACTAAGGCCTGTCTGCCTGTGTGTGGGTGTATGTGCTGGAACACGAGCCCAGGGGGTCTGTATGTTTACCAGGGTATTCCCATGTTCTGGTGTGCACGTGGCTGTGCACGTGCCTCAGTGTGGACGGCTGGGCACATGTTGACGGATGCCCAGGGTTTCATAACTGTATGTCCTCTGCCTCTCTGCGTGCCTATGACTGGGCATGTGGCGCTCCCGACTATTTCTATGACGTGCGCGTGTGTCGCAGTGTGTGGTTGCGTCGTGTGTGTTGCTATAAGTGTGTCTGCATTTTCTGGCGTCTTTCTGGCTGAGGGTGTGAGTGCCTAAGGCTTCCCCTAAGTGTTTTTCTGGGTGCGTGAGCGATAACGTGCGTTGCCCCGGTCTTTAGAGTGTGCGTTTGTGTTTTTCTTGGTGTGTGCGCCATGGCATGTGTGCTCGGGACCTTGGCGATCAGTGTTCTGGCTTTTCTGTGCGTGTTACTGTATTCCGAGCGTGTCCTTGCGTCTTCCT